AATGAAATAAATATCGAGAGCAGAGAGCAGAAGCAAGTTCTGCTTAACGCTGCGTACGTCCACTTGACGCTTTCGCTCTCGTTTCCTGTTTCGGCTTCGAGCCCACCTCCGGTGGTTTTGCCCATCCGACGTGCCCCCGTTTGAATTCGAGCGCTCGAGCTCCCGAGAGTGGTTGTAAAGTCTCGATCCAGAGGATCGAGTGCAGGAACCGCGAGCGATTGGCTCGATTTGGGGAATTCGGGTGGCATTCTGCGGCGGTTTCTCCGTGTGCTTTGGAGGAAATCGATGGGATCGGCTGGGAGCTATGGCGTGGGAACGGGGAATTCCGGCGCCTACATGACGGAAATCGCGGAGCCCATCCGGTTTGACGAGGAGATTCGAAGTCTGATCCAAGCCAGGTTCGATGCCCCACCGGTGTCCGGCGGCTCCTTCACCGCGCTCCTCGGTCTATCGGCTAACCAGGCCGTGGGCCTCCTTCATGAGCCCGGCGCCGGCGAGGTTTCCGCCTCCGCTGCGGCCTCCTCCCCCACTGGCCTCGGGCATCCGCTCGGCTGGTCTCCCACCTTCCCCTCCAACGCCGGCCTTGCGGAGCGGGCCGCAAGCTTCCCCGTCTTCGCCGCCGCGGACTCCCCGGCGTCGAGCTCTGGCGGAGGGCCCTCGCCGCAGCTCAAGGCGGAGCCCTCGGACTCCGATTCCTCGCCTCCCCTCCCGGTCCCCATCGATAAGCCGCGGCGGCCGGCAAAGAGGAAGGACTGCGAGAAGCAAAAGGTGAGCAGCGGACTCACCAGGGTTCCGGGTAAGGTAACCACCTCGTTTGGCTGAGGGGCGATGACACGTTTCCCTCTTTTGTTGCTCAGGCAAAGGGCCCCGCGAAGAAGCTGAAGACCGCGGAGGAGCACACTGAGGATGACCAGCTCCCTTACGTTCACGTCCGCGCTCGCCGAGGACAAGCCACCGATAGCCACAGCTTAGCGGAGAGGGTACCGCTTACTTAGTTCCCAAACAATCCATTAAATCACTTAGTTTTAGCTCATTTCCTTACTTATCAACCTTTAATTTCTCGTAGGCGCGAAGGGAAAAGATCAATGCGCGGATGAAGCTTCTCCAGGAACTGGTTCCCGGATGCAGCAAGGTCAGTACTCCTCAATCATTCGTTGGATCCCTTAATTAAAGCATTAAAGCCTCTTTTTGTGCATTTATTTTCGTAGATTACTGTTATACACGCCGCATAACAAAAGTTAAAAAGATGGTTTTTTGGGGGGGGTGTAAGAGCCGATTGGTGTCCGTTTTACCATTCCATTGTACCATGGAGAGAAGGTGTTTGTGGAAATTCCTATGCAAAGATGAGATGCGATCGTGAAGATATTCTGGTCATCGGGTAATCGAGCCTACGGTGGTGACCCTATTTTGGAGGTGCCTTCGAAGGAAAAGTTGACAGTTTTGGCCAGGTTCGGACACAAGCAATCGAGTCTAAACTGACGAGCCTATCTCATAGGCGCCTTTGAAGGAAAAAGTTGGCTGATTTGGGCTCTCGAGTGGACTTTTGTTGTCTTTTCATTGACATACGTAACTGGTACAGACACACGCTTGGAACTTCATCGTAGAAACTGTCCAATCCCATCGATTACTTTAATGCATTACGGGGATTGGTGTTGCTTTATGATTGACCCACTTTTAATCTGAACTGCATCCATATTTTGGATGAAACAAACAATTTTCCTCTTGATCTATCAAGAGACCTTTCGTTTTCATGTGGAGACAGGAAAAAGGATTTCGAAAGTGGATTGTCTAATCTGTCTGTCTGTGATGCAGATTACAGGAACAGCCTTGGTGCTTGACGAAATCATCAACCACGTACAGTCGCTCCAAAGGCAAGTTGAGGTACAGCATTCACTCCACCAAAAGCTCCTGTTTCCTTCTGTTATCTTTAAGATCAGATGAAACAATGATCCAACGATGATACCATCCACTCCTCCACTGTGGTTCTCAGTTCCTGTCGATGAGACTGGCGGCGGTCACCCCGAGGATCGACTTCGGCGGTCTCGACAGCTTTTTAATGGCGGAGGTAACGCCTCGATCTCGTGAGATAAAGGCTAAAAATATGATTTTGCAATAGTTGTTTGTAAGAAAAGCATCGAGGCATATGGGAACGATAACCATTGAGAACGACTCGGTTCCAATCCAAATCCTTCCGTCGCCATCATCGTTAATGTCCGATCTCCGTATTGCCTCGCTAGACGCGGGGGCAGCATGTACCACCGTGGTACTTTAGGAGATGCGAAACGGATTACCATGACGTGAAATGTGGTCGTTGATGGCAGTGTGGACCGCTGGCGGCATCCAATGGAAGGGGCGAAGTGGCTTTGGATCCTGTGTCGTGGTCGTCGGACCCGGCTCCGGGTACCGGACAACGAACGGATCTCCGGCCAAGCCAGCAATCATCTACGGCGTGGGTCTACCCGTATGGTCTCATCAACCATGGGACTTCGCTCTTTGGTTATGGCGCTGCCAATTCCGGTAACTCCTGCATGACTCTCCTGTTATTCATCCTTCTATGCTTTACATGTACGGGACACGCACGTTTTACTCAGACTGTTCTGAGATTAATGAGATTTTTTTGGGAGGACAAAGATAAGATCCGTCGTCCTCTCGACCCCGACTGCTTCTGTCCCATTCCGGTGACGATGTCGGGCCCAAAAGCTATAAATGATTGCTTCAGGCAACGACGCTTGCCTCTGTGTTTGATTGGCCTGCCCCGACCACCCGTAATTTACATCTGGTCCCGATGGTCCCCCTGCCAGCATGTAGATTTTCTCCGTCACTTTGCACAGCCGTCCGTCTTAATTTGGTGCCTTAACTTCATTGTCAGTGCAGTGAGTGTTTTCTTTCCCTGTTGCTACCACATAACTCACAGCCAGTACTGTGCAGGCCTATTATTGGGTACTCTTTCGATCAAATGGATAGCAACATTGCCATTTTGTTGGTGCAATCTCGTGTCAAACTTTGCCAGTTATATGCTTTGCTTTACTTCGGCATCAAGGACAGAGACACATAGCGACTTAGGAGTTAAAGACTTTTCCTTTTCCTGGGGTCTTGGATATGCACACTGTTAGATCGTCACAACCCAGCTGGTACCAACTTTAGCTCGGTGCGTAACAACTCATATCTTGTTGTGAGCCTTGGAACCAAAGTCATTAATTGACACTCTTGATATAGTTCTGACGGGCATTTGGACCACTGCTCTGCACAAACTTTTACTTCCTTTTGCTATAATTTGACACCTTGTCTGGATCTTATCTTGGATGTGGTGAACTTTTACTATTTACTTTGAATCCTGATTCAACAATAGGCACTTTTTATGATCTCGTCAAAGAAGGCTGCTTGACTAATAGTTTGGCCTTCGATCGTAAGTCTTTGAAGAAATGCCTTTTGCAAATCTCTCCATCTGGTAGGGCAGTGGTGCTTCACCTCATGTAGAAACAGAGAAATGCCTCGCCTAATGAAGTCATGAATTTAGAGAAAGCTGATACTATGTTCTCAGTCTTTTACATATGTGCCTAATTGAGAAAGGAATTGCAGTACGATGCTAGCACAAGCTAGTTATCATTCACAACCTTGAACAAAGCCCTCCTAGGCAACAATCTTAAATTCCAGGTTATGCACTGCCCCATATAATCAAACTCAGGTATGGGCATGGATTATGCAGTAAATATTCACTATTTCATTCAAATAGATCAGCGAAAATTGATCAAGTAGGTTGTTGTTTCATAGGCAAAAGCTTTTGTAATTATTTTCTGGCACTTGTTCATTGTTGGCGGCATTCACCAAATAATGTCGTGCGATTTTATAAAGAAAAGCAGCTGTCATTAGTCTGTACTTCTGAAGAAGCCTTTTTTGTTATTATGTGCATCCAGCCTAAAGCATTTGCATTTGAGATGATAAAATGGAGGAGTTAAGAGTTGGTATATCTTATTTTATGAATGATGCTTAATTCTGATACACCTGTTGTTAAAAGACTTCTTTTGCATGCATGTCTTAGTAAGTGCTATCATTTTTTGGTTTGATGGATGTTTTTATACACTCACAAAGAGACATGTTTGATCCATCGATTTTAGAAACACATATATCCATGAACATGTGTCTTGTTATTTTAGACATTTGTGTGTCTCTCGACATCATCAACCGACCAATGTTTTATTTAAATTGCTGACTTATGCATTGCTGTCCCTTCTTTTCTTCCTAGTGCCACTGAACTCGAACCAATCGAAGACGGATCTCTGAACAGCAGCAGCAGCAGTGGCGCTTTCCTGCTGGCAAAACACGTATGTACAGAGCAGAGTAAATGTATTGTTAGGACGAGTCGATTGGAAGTGGAAGGAGAGCTTCGTTTGCACTCTTCCTGCGACCAGCTCCCAGCTCTCTGATAATGAATTGATTGCAGAGTATGTATGATACTCTTTAATTCCTCGTACCCTGTCCTATATAAATTTTCCTGTTCCTATTCAAACAACAATTTTGATTTATGCTCCTAATCTCGTAATGAATCCTAATTTGCTTTATCCCAGAGTTACATATCTAGGAAGTGTACTGCATTAGAGCAATGACTAAGGATTCATGCATTCTTCAATGACAAATGCAATTCTATTTATTCTCAGAAAAAGAATTTAGTCTTTTGTTATAAAATGCTACAAGACACCATGAATCTTAACATCCTTCCATTCTGCAATTGATTTTTACCACGATCGATGTACCAAATTACCATAGCATCAGACACCATATTCATCCATCAAACCAGCATAAACTAAAGCTTAATTCACCATATCTTTTTCCAATCAACAAGATAAAAGAGTTCTCGAGGCTACAAGATTGCCCTATGCATCATTCCACCAGCAAATTTATAGCAACAAAGGGCATCAGCAAGCAGGCAAGTGAAAGAAGAGCATCACAATAACAGTTAAAAGTAACCTTCACTCCATAGCCTTAGATCTTATCAAGTTTTTCAGCCTTAACAATAGGGTTTGCTTTGGCAATCGCAGCCTGCGCTGCCTTTCGGTAATCGAATCGGCAGTCATGCTTATCCGAGTAGCGGTGTGCGGCACAGAAAAGGTTCCCACACCGACAACTAAAGCCGGTCAGACCAACCCGTTTCCTGCAAGTGTTGCACCTGTTTGGACCCTCCTTCGCCTTTGCTTCTCCAGCCTCGCTCGAGCCAAGCACATCAGGTGGCTGTGCCGAAATCGCCTTCGACTCCACAGAGCCAACAGCTACATCGGCATTGCCAGATACAACAGGTTCCTTTCCGCTACCGCTGCCACTGCCGTTCACGAGGCTGTCGATCGAGGATGCTGCCAGCTTTGCCTGCTCCTGCTTCAGAATCATGTCCTCGTGGCACTTGGAGCACATGTTCATGGTCGCAGCACTTCCGAAGAAGCCGCAGTTGTTGATGCAAAGGATCGGTCCTTCAGGGGCTCGGCATCCAGTCTCATCGTGCTCCATTGCTAACTCCCCTGCACCACGTTAACCTCGGGTAAGAACCAGAGAGATTTTACATGCAATTCCCATAACTCCTATCCTCGATCAAACCCTTGAATCCCACAAAAGCAAGTGAATCAAAGAAGCTTAGACCGGTGAGAAAAGTAGCAACTTTGCTCCTAAGCTCTCGCCTTTCTTTCTTGTTTGAGATACCAAAAGAGCAATATCTAGCAGAGTAGGAAAAAGATCACATAAGGAAAACATGGAAAGAAGTGCATAGCATCCTATCTCAATGGAAGACACCCGAACCAGAGAGGACGGATGAAGCCCGTTCCCATTTGAAATAACCAAATATCAAACCCTAACCCGCTCTAGCTTGAAAAAGATAGCACAACAAATCTCAAATGCTATCGATTCGGCAGAACAAACCAACCAAATATATGCATAGAAAAGAAAGGGAAGAAAACAACAATCATTTCGGCATAAAAATCAAACCCTCATCAAAGGAAAATAAAAAGGCACTGTTTTGCGATCGGTCTCCCTCGCGATTCGCCTGCGGCGATCTCCGCAGATTAAAACTAATCAAATAACCCCCTATTCCCAATCAAGAAAAAAACACAAAAGAGCATGCATAAAAGGAAAAGAGGCGAGTAAGTAAAACTCGTGTTTTCGGTTCGTAGAATGCGACGGAAAGATCACCAGAAAAGGAACGGCTGAAGACGAACCAAATCGAAACCCTAACCTTAAGCGGCTGGAAATCGCCTCGGAATCGAAGAGTCGAACCCAAGCCGAAAGTAGAGAAAAGAGGGGGAAGGAAGAATAAGAATCGAAAAGAGAGACAGAATCTCATGCTCATTTGTATTGGCCGGCTACGTTTCGTATATAAGACGGCTCTACGCGTTCGGTCTCCATTGGGCCACGCGGTGCTTCGTTGGAGCGTTGTCGTATCACGTACGACGCTGCGTTGTCGACCAGCGATTCGTTCCGCGCGAAAATGGACGGTGGCAAGCCGTCCTCGTACGTGATTCGCTGTGCGCATGCTCGGATGCAGGGATCGCAGTACGCCGCATCGCCCTACCGCAGCGTGTCTGGATCACCAGTCTATGCTAGTCCACCAACCAGGAAAATGAACGCTTCCCTCTGGTGAAAAAGCCGCGGGCCCCATCTGCGCCTCACAATGGGCTGGGCTTGTGGGCCCTGTTTCCACCCATCCAGCAGGTGGCATACAGGAAAGGGGCTAACTCACATGTGCAAATGGTCGACTGCAAATTACAAGTCAATTGATACGTTACAAAATTGGTAAACCGCGTGGTCTTTGAAAGGTAAACGCTTTGACCCGAAGATTTGACTGACGATCTCATCATATTAATATAATCCGAATCAGGAAGGTTGACTATAAACGTTGAAATGGGCCCTCTCAAAACCAAATAATGAGATTAAATATTTTACTTAAAAGGAAAAATAATGAGATTAAATATTTCATGGTCCGGATTCGAACCCGGGTGAGGGTACGAAACCGAACACCCCCACCAAATCATCCGTGTGCTCGTGTTGGTTCGATTCGATTGACTTCGAATGGTCACTGTAGGTCGGGTTCGATATATCCACCGCACCGTGACCGAACTCCGGCCGAGCACCTGATCGTGGAAAGGGCGGGAAGTATTGGGGCTTTCGCTGCCCTAATAAATATCGAGCACCTCCTATTCTTCTCTCCTCTATCGCCCGATTACTTCCTTCGTGGATGGGGAGAAAAAAGAGATCTAGGGTTTCAACCCAGGGCAGCGAGGGGAATGCGGAAGGAGAAGGAGGAAGAGGAGGAGAAGAAGAAACCTCAGGCGCCGGTGGATCCTCCACTCCTAGAGACATGAGCTTGTACGAGGTACCCAGTTACTTGCCATTCCGTCTCTTTCCCGCTTGAAATTTTGTCGGCTTGGGGGCTTCTTCTGCTGTTAGCTTCGATCGTGGAAGAGCGTTCGAAATCGCTAATTTTCCTTTGCTTATTGGTTATATATTTTGTACTCATCTTCCATAGCACGTGCTTCTCTTGCTGTGGGGGTCGGATGTGCTGCGTTCGTGCTCTTTCTTTGCTATTTTTATCTTATATCAGGGCCCCGGACACTTCTTAGAAGCGTGTGATTTTCGACAAACACACGCTTTCTGATACAATCACGCATGGCATGTGAATTTATGTGTGGATTAGTATGTACAATTGGGGACTTGAAAGAAAAATGTAACCTGGATTCAGAGTAGTTGGAATATGAATTCTGATGAAGGCGCCCATTATCTTTGTGATAATGGGGGGCAGAGAGTCCGTTATCTTTTATTTAGCCGAAACATGTGTTTTTTTCTTATTACAGTTGCTTAGATCTTCACTGCTCTTTATTGACTTAAATTCACAACAGGACTCTTTGTGATACAATCACTCATGGCATCGATTAAGGGCAATGCTAAATTAGAAAGAATGCAAAATTTTCTTTTACCTTGTATTTTTCTTGTGATTCTTAGGAGTGTGAGGTGTTGCTCTTCTGGATAACTGCAATCGTGTTTTAATCATAGTTGCTTCTATCTTGGACGGGTTATTCTTGGCTTATGAGTATGGTCTCCGCCGAGTTCACATCGAGACGGATTCTATGGTTCTGGTGGATATCATAAGTAAACAATCTCCTGTCCCATGACGAATGTTGAATGCTGTTAGAGACACTTTACATCTAATGTCTGTTATGGATGATTGTAAAATCTTGCATGTGTTTCGTGAAGCAAATTGGTCGACCACTCATGCTAGAGCCAACAAACTCTCTAGTCTTTGGAGGAATTTTTATCCTCCGGACTTGGATCTTTTTATTCGCATCGAGGCGAACGGGATTGTTTCCTATCAATTTCATCAATAAAGTTTTTTTTTTTTTTAATTTTTAAAAAGTTGCTTGGTAGAATATATTCATCATACATTTTGCTTTGTGTTAGTTATAATTGTTCAGGAGAAAAGCACACTTTACATAAAAATCTAGGGTCCAGTACCCTGACTTGGTCCTCTTGCAGATTTTAGGTGTGGAGAGGACAGTCTCTCAGCAGGAAATTAAGAAGGCCTACTACAAACTGGCCTTGCGTCTTCATCCAGATAAAAATCCTGGTGATGAGGTATAGAATTATGTGTGGATTAGTAGTACCACGGTACTATCCTATCTCGGGGATGTTGTTCAGCGGTTTCAAGTTTGTACTCGTCATATTTTCCAGGAAGCAAAAGAGAAATTCCAACAGTTGCAAAAAGTTATATCTATTCTTGGGGATGAGGAGAAAAGGGCTGTTTATGATGAAACTGGTTATGCTGGTGATGATGTAAGTGCTTTGCTTTTAGATGTTCTCTCTTCTTTATAGTTTTGGATTAAGAGAGAGATGGGCAAGTCTCTTCCTATACTGTTGGAGTATTTGCTGTTGACAGGCTCTGGTTGGGGAAGCTGCTGAAAATCTACAGGAGTTTTTCAGAACGGTGTACAAAAGAGTATGCCCCTCCCTCTGTCTTAGAAGAACTTGCTAAGTTAATTGAACCATGAGATGGCATGTTATTTTCCTTGATAATGTGAATTAGTGTAACTCTGCTGGGTCTAGGTTACGGAGGCTGACATTGAAGAATTTGAAGCTAATTACAGAGGTTCAGATTCTGAAAAAAAGGATTTGAAGGATCTATATGAAAAATTCAAGGGCAATATGAATAGGTAAATGAGAGAAGCTTCTTTAATTTCATCTCCAATAACCAGATTTCACTGCTCTGTTGATGTTTCCAGCTTTATTTGGCTTAGTACTGGGATGCTAGCAGGATTTAGGGCATAGCGTTCCTCAACTAGGCTCCATGATTTATCAGAGTATGGTATAATAGCAATAGCACAACGAACTTCAAACTCTTTGACAAGTTGTCTTTTTGATTCAGGCTTTTCTGTTCGATGCTTTGTTCTGATCCAAAGCTGGATTCACACCGCTACAAGGATATAATTGACGAGGCAATAGCTGAAGGTGAGTTTTATTTTGTTATCAATCACAAATTACTAATGTTAGTGTAGCTTGTGAAAAGAGTAAGCACATGATTCAAGAGTACTTAACATTTGTTCCTAAAGTCAAAGTCTTTTTTCCAAATAGTTTGAATAGTAATTATAATATTATTATTTACATCCTTCTCATGGAAGTATGTTGATTTTTAAGTGAAGGTTTTCCTATGTGGGTTATGACAAGTACAAATCATAAACTAAGATTTGAAAATTTAGGTACAATTTTTCCATCAAGAGGCTGGTTATGTTTGACTTGAAGGTCCTTCATATTTTGTAGGGGAACTAAAGACAAGCAGAACTTATCAGAAATGGGCCAAGAAAGTTTCCGAAAGTGAACCACCAACCAATCCGGTGGTCAGACGGCAGAAGTGAGTAAATTTCACAGAACATGTCCTGCCATTCATGTAACTTCAAGATTTTAACTATAATTTGGAAAAGAAAATGCAGGACAAAGAAACAAGAAGGAGCAGACATAGTTGCAATCATCTCTCAGCGAAGGAGCCAGAGGAAACAGCAATTCGACTCCATTCTCTCCTCCATTGTTGCTAAATGCGATGCAAGAACTGAACCGGAACCCACTGAAGAAGAGTTTCAGAAGGCACGACAAAGGCTTGAAAGTAAGCAGACCAAAAACCGGAAGCGTTAGTGTGTGGACAAAGTGTGTTTGTTGAAGTTTACTTGATTCAATGTTATCATCCACATCGCGAGCAGATAAAACTTTTGGATCAAGTCCTATAAATGGGAAGGGAAGAACCTTTTATTTCATATTCCTGTTGTTGCTTTTGTCTCACAACACACCTTTTCTACATTGTGTTTGGCATGAATTTTGGTCGGCATGAAGACGTAATTGGTTGTCTCAGTATTGGTGTTGGTTCCATCTTCTAGTGCAAAAGCCTCATTCATGAAGAAGGCCTAGTGGTCATTTTGAACTCGTGTTGTTAGCCAGCAACTTAGTGAGAATCTAATCTTTTAGGATTAATTATATATTATCTTCTGTAACATCTCAATTTTTATATTTTTAAAATTTATATTAAATTTTTTTATATTTATAAAAATAAAATATTTACTTTTATTTCTCTTCATATCACTCCGTTGATAAAAATATCTCATCGAAATGAGGCAGGATTAGCATGTGTTCAACAACAACAAAATTATATGTTTTATCTTTATGAGTATAAGGATACTAATATAATTTTTAAAGATATAAAAGTTTAAAATACTAAAGATAGTGAATTATAAGAATAATTTATAATTAATTTTATTTTTTATAATGATACGTCAGAAGAACAAAAGTATGTTATCCCCCAGTTTGATGATCTAAAATGTTGATGCCCCTGTCAACAAGAAAGCACACCAAGAGGACTCTTACTACTCCCCCTTTGATGCACATACCAATCGACTGACTCATTATGTCAAAAAGAAAGATATAATTTGAATACTAACTAGAGGACATACCTATTTGCAACAACACCTAACAAATTGCGAATGCAACAAAAGGTCACAATTCCTCATGCATCATCACTTGCAGTCCACCTCCCCTTGAAACAATGACATCCACAACAGTGCCATGACACAAACCTCGTTCCACAAAACAATTGATTCTCCTACTCACACAAAGAAGTCTTTGATCACCTGCACAAGTAAAACAACACCACCAACTGCTCCCCCATGCATGATGTGCATCCATGCCCACACAACACTCCAAGCACCTATCTGCTAATTAATCCCATGTATTGTTTAGTGTGTCAACCATCTTCATCCTCCACAAGCCATGCCAAGATTGCTTGCTTTTGCCACACATCACATCGACGGGAAAAGCACCTCTTGCTTGTCTCTCTCCAAGCAATGAGAGACGAGAAGAGCAACCAAGTCTATTCCAAACGTGACCCACTTGCATGGGTGATGACAACATGCTCTCTCCTACTCCACTTTGCATACCCCCTCTTATCTTCATTGCACATATACATTTTTTTTACCAAATTTGATGTTTCCAATGTTAATTATACTGCATGTATATACTTCTATATATATATATATATATATATATATATATATATATATATATATATATATATATATATATATATATATATATATAT